AATTTTTTTTTTTTTACTGAATCAAATGTTAGAGTAGACATCTTTGATAGAATGAACCAAACATTCCAATGAAATAAACATAGTATCCAAATTTAGTGAAAATACCATTCAATGGTAAATTACAAAAACAATCAGTTTGGAAAAAAAAAAAAAAACTCTTGGATAAATTGCGGAGGTGGTTCTTGTGGTTCGTTACGGCAATTTCGTCTCTTCATTTTCAATTGCATCAATTTTGTCCTAGAACTTTGGTTGTAGGTTACGTGGTCCAAATGCTAATTGTCGTTGCATTTGTTGATGGAAAAGCGGCTTGGGCATTGCACATGCTATACTTGCAAGGGCAAAAATATTAATCAAGCTGTTCATAATCAACCTGTTTGGTAGCACACCTTGTTATTCAACCTGTTCATTGAACATGTTATTCAATTCAACATGTTCAACTCAAACAAATCTGTTATACACTCAATAGATTTCACAAACCAATAATTCAACAGATTTCATCTCAAACGTTCAACCTGTTATACATTTCCACCTGTTTGGCAGCATACATTTCAACTTTAGCATACATTTGGCAGCATACATTTCAACCTGTTTTTGGAAAAGTATCTATGTATTGTTTGAAAAGTCAAAAACAAGGTCTGCCAAGTAGAGTGATCTCTATTTGGCAGCATACATCTCAAACAGATTTCATCTCAAACAAACCTGTTATACACTTGTTTTTGCAAGCCATAAGATTTTAAAGCACCAAAAAAATATTACAAAACAAGAACAGAAGTACATTACATTCATAGCATGTTCGAAAACCTAAAATACAAAAGTACATTGTTCTTGAATACACAAAATACACAAAGTAGCTTACATTGAGTCATTTACAAGATAAAGTACAAAAATACACAAAATACAATGACATAAGTCATTGCCTTGAACATCTTCTCCATCCTTTCAAGCCTTCTATCATGCTCACCAAGCGTTGTCCTCAGATCATTAATTTCTTCTGTTGTTGACCGAGGTCCAGCATTGGTTGAAGCTGATGCGGTAATGTCGTCGTTGTCGTCGTCGTCGTCGTCTGCGAACCACCTGAAGTAATTGCAGTGGTTGTTCGTAGACTACAATGGACAAGAATTAGTTAATCAATAAAGGACAAACGAAATTTGTAAAACTAACAAATTCATTTATAAAACAGGTACTTACATATTTTCTTGGGCAAACAAAATAGACACGTCCTTTATTTCCATTTGCATTGGTTCGCACAATACGCACGGAAGCTATTCTTCCACAATTACAAAACCTTGGCTTTAATGTCAAGTTCGTATTATTAGTAGAAGATGAAGTCATTTGTTTATCTGCATAAAAAATACCAACAGATTCATCTTTAATTTTATTTTATGTTTGGGTGTGGAAAAATACTTAGGATATTGGGTTTGTAGGGGGGGGAAAAGGAAAAGAAAATTGAAAAAAGAAAAAAGAATAAAAAGCTTCTTCAATTATTTATACATAAAGCAATAAGCATTTACAAGAAATTGTAAGACCAACTATATTAGTACTTGTTGAAAATGTGCATTACTGTTTTGCAGCAAATATGTAGTGTAACTGATATTGATGTGAAGCATATACTTCCGACAAATCAAGTAATTATAGTGTTGAAAAACACATACTGATTAGGAGTGTCCAACTTCAGTTGCTGGTGCATTCAAGCCAAGTTGAAATCAAAAGAGAACTATTAATTCGCAAGCCCAAGTCAACAAGACAGTTCACAGAACTAATAATGTCAGATATTATCAAAGAAGATTATATTAAGGTGGAACTTCCCACTACCAACTTTAAAGCAACCCTATGAATTGAATGACAAGTAAACTATGAATTAAAAAGCTCGAGTATACATGACATATTCAAAACACAATCACACAACTCTGCAACATCCCAACCAACCAGAACAGTTGAAGTGACATCTAACCTTTCCCATGTGACATAAGCTAAAACCCTATTTCAGTCCTAATGTGGATCGTGCATCACAGATCAACAACGGAGTTCTTCCAAGTCACTAGTTACATCACTGCTCAGGTGTGGTGAAAAATAAGCAAGGATTCCCACACTTTAAAAAGAGAACTAATATTATTTGTTTACAAGAAACTAAATGGGTAAGAAAAAATCTAACGAATGGAGTTCTTCAATGTTTTAAATTACATAATACTTAGACCTCTTTTCATCGATCATTCACTAGTTATGCGAATGAAAAAATTGATATTATTATCTTTTTTATATTGAAATGTATACTTTATCTTATTATCCTTATATTTTCACAATATTTGCATTACATATGATCCATTTGACTTTATTAAAAGAGAATTCAATGTCTACAAATTTAGACTTGTTATATTTTTTTTTTTCTAAACCTTAAAGAAGATCAATGTAATTTACCTTCTAATATAAAGACTTGGGGTCACTACTGTACATTGTGCAAAATAGTAATTGTTGTGTAGCTTGTGAGACATATTTCAAGTCCTATTTTGATAAACTTTTCTTTTTTTAAAAAAAAAATATTGAATAACCAGAGAAATACTGTCTTCCAAACTCTTACATTCTCTTACATTCCTCTGTCTTCCAAACTCAGAATGCCTATTTTATGATCAACCAGAGAAATACTATATTTAAATTACACACAGATTAAATTATACAAATAGAGGGTCATTTTAAATTACATACAGATGCCCATGTTTGGAATTTAAATACTACAGCTTTGTGTCGTTAATTTAAATTACACACAGATTAAATGCCCATTTCAGGCCCATTACACACAGATGCATATATATATATATAAATATATTCATAAATTTCTTTGATGATTCCAATCATCTACAGTTCGGTTCCTCTAAGCATAGATCTGAAATAAATCATGTAAAAAATCTCAAATCAAAACCGTAAGATCATATTTTTTGATTTTTTCCCTAATTTTTTGAATCAAAGCCCTAATATTTGAAGTTTAGAGGATGAAACGAACCTGTGGTTTTTTCTTTCAATCTGTTGAGTATGGTGACCCAGCGGTGTGGCGAGAAGGATAGTTTGATAAAAGGTTAAACGCTCCCTTAATTTAATGAAATTTTTAGTTTTCCTCTCATTTGATACGGGTTTGATGCCACGATTGGAGCCCAAAAAGTAGCGTGTTTCATCAAATTTAAATTTGATGACAAATCTAATACTAGGGTTGGAGATGGTTTAAGCCTCAATTATTTCTCTTTCGTTTGTTAATCTAAAGCTTACTAGCTGAGTACGATTTTGATTTCCTAAATTCCCCAAAAATATATATATATATATATATAACATATATAAAAAGAAGGTAAGAGTGGTGTAACGCATGGTGTAGCACTGGTGGTTCTTGTGTAAGTCTGTCGTTTTTTTGTTTGCAAAGTAGATTTGGGCTGGCTACGTGGCCTTCACCTTAGCCACACACACGATAGTAGAAACAATGAGCTGTCTTCAGAGTGTGTTCCTTCCATCCTGATCTTGCCGATCGCCCAACCAACCAAAGCCCACCATCTATCTCTCTCATAAGTTTCTTGTGTGCTGAGAAGAAAGCGGTACTCTTTGTTTGCTTGTTTAGTTGATCTCACCCTTGGTTGCCTTCATATTTGTTTGCACTGGTGTAGATTTCAATGGTTTCTACAAGCTTCCTCTGTTCGGTGTACCTCGATTTTATAATCTTGGAGCACCTCTTTGTAGAAGAATTGGTTGGGCAACATTTAAATTTCGCACCGCCATCTTCTTGCTCTACTTGTTGGTGATATTCCTGCTCATTGTTTGTCTTCTACTAAGATGTTCATGCCTGATTTGTATGTGTTTTCGAGCTTGTTAATGGTGGAGAAATTATGCATACCAATTGTTTGACAATATGCCTAACTAAAATAACCCATAAATTCTCTTCATGGCAAAACCTCTTTCTAAGATTGCAACAAAATTTCAAGGAAAAGGCCTGACTTATTTCTTACAAATTAGTTTGTTTCAATTAATTTTTCAAATTTATTTGTTCTCGGGTGGATAGAGTTTGTGATGTGTTTATTTGGTTTCTCTACACATAAAAAAATGATCGAGAAGCGCCTCGCAAGTGGCCAAGTCAATCATTTAGTTTGAATTAAACAAGATTGAATATGTTCTTATTTTCTTTTAGTGATATTTGCTTCTTGTTTAGTGATATTTCTCAGGAAATGTAAATTTTGATCGTATATTTATGTTTATACTTATTTAGGCCTCGTTTGGGAAGTAGCTATTTTAGTAGGCTATTTTAATTTTTAGCTATTTTAGTAGGCTAAAATTTTTGTGTTTGGGAAGATAATTGGATTTTTTTGTGGTTGGATGTGATGTTTGTGAGAGAAAAAGTGAAATGATTATGGGTTTGATGTGATATTTTGTTTTATTAGCTATTTTAGCCTATTTTGTCTTTTTGTGAATTTTAGCCTAAATTGGGCTATTTTTTTTCTTCCCAAACACCCCTTAGTTTATCATTCTCAATTATACATTTGTTTCTTGATGATCATTTTCTGCATTTCTTTGTTAATCTGTTTGTTTTCTTTCGGATGAGAATTGACATTTTAAGGCCAAAACAAGTTCTGGCTTATCCTCGATTTAAAAATCTAATGCGTTCCTATATGTTTTTGCCTAAGCAATTTGTATGTATATTTCTTATATATATGAGATTGAAACAATTTTGCTCCAAATTAGGAAACTTTTCCTTAATAAATGTTAGTTCAGAACATTTTTCCAAACCGGTAGATTGGTAGTGTATAAACAGTTTTTGTTGAATTGAAAAAACAGCCCTCAAGCAATTTTGAAAGATCCATTCAAGATGGAAAACAATATATTGGTGAGTTACTGCATTCATGCAGTTCATTGGAATGGAGTAGTCATTCTATCAGAATAATCATCTCATGTTTGGTTCGGTAAAAAGGAAAGGAATTTTACATTGGAAATAAAAGCACCATTCACCAATTTAGGAGAATTTTCATTCCATTGGAAGGCCAAGGAATAGTCATTCCATTCCTTCCTTAAATCGTTCCAATAAACGAAACATTTCCTCAATTCATTTGGGTTTTGGGGCACTTTCATTGTGAAATCTTAAACGATGTGTTAAAAAAGTTTTGTTGTGCTGTCTTTCTCATTAATCATTATTGTCTTAGGTCGTGTGATGCTTACACTCCTGCTGGTGAACCAATTCCAACGAACAAGAGGTACAATGCTGAGATGATTTTCAGCCACCCTGATGTTGTTGCTGAAGAACCCTGGTAAAGGATTTCAACCTTTTCAAAATATTGTAAAAACTTAATTGCCACTGTTGTTTGAGTATCTTTGTCCATTTAACTTTTGGAGATTGTAATTGATTTTGAATTTTAATTTTAAAATAGGTATGGTATTGAGCAAGAGTACACCTTGTTGCAAAAAGATGTTAAGTAGCCTATCGGGTGGCCAAAGGGAGGTTATCCTGGACCTCAGATAATGAAATTGATACTTTTTTTGAATATCAACAATTTCATTTTTCTATTTTGTCTGAGTTATAATATTTAGTGATCATGTCCTCCAATTTTAGAATTTTCTTGAACCTGGTAGATGAATTTTGTCTACTGGTTTAGTCCTTGTGAACTTTTGGATGCTGACATGCTTTAGAACCCCTTCTGTGTACCGAAAAGGATAAAATTACATGATATTATGTTAGCTTTTAATCATTTTGAGCCACTTGTCCAATGCTATTAAAAAACATATATAAAGAAGTCCTCGTTATGCACCTTTTCTCTTAACCAAATTTAATTTGCTGTTTATCGTGAAGAATTCAATAACATATAATAGTAATTATTGTAGATGCTCTGGTGAATATTTTTGTGGCTATTTCTTTTTGCCTAAGACTTATAGTTGAACCTTTTGTTATGGCAACTTAGGGACCATACTACTGTGTTCTAGTGCCGACAAAGCTTTTGGACGTGATGATGTTGATTCACACTACAAGGCTTGCCTTTATGCCGGGATTAACATAAGTGGAATCAATGGTGAGGTGATGCTGGGCCAGGTAAAATTAAGTAAAACTTTTAAGAACATTTTATTTAAAATTTTTAAGAACAAATTTTTGGTTAGGTGGAATTAAGAAATATTTTTTGTGATAAAGGAGTAGTGTTTCTTACTATATTAAGGGAAAAGTGCATATATTTCGTAATTGGGGTTTTTTAGAAAAAAGATTGTGGTGGGACCAAAATTTTGAATTTACGAAGCATCATTGGATGAGAAACTCAAATATACAGCATTTTGTAAGCGCATATATGCTACTATAAAGCTATTATAAGTGGTGCCTAAAGAATCTGATTTTGGTAGCTATTAGAAGTGGTGCCTAAAGAATGTGATTTTGGTAGTTTGGAAATACTAGGAAAGGATAGCATTAGCATTTCTTGTGTTGGAGTAGCAATTGCGATGTTTGGTTAGAGTTGGAGTAGTGGTTATAGTCTAGGGGTACTAATAACCGTTGATGTAATGGTGGAAGGGTCACAATGGTAGGGTTGATGGTGGCACACTAGTGTTGAAGAGTTGGTTGCCTTGATTGTTGAAAGGAACATTTGGGAGTGTTTTTTTGCAATTCTATAGACATTGTGGAATGCAACAAATGACTTAATCTTTAATACGAAGGAAACTAAATGGGAGGTGATTATAGTTATGTGATTTTTTTGTGTTGAAGATGTGCAGTTTGGTTCTTGTTTTGAACTGATCATATTTCTCTCCCCAGTTTGTACTCATCTTATTAATAAATTTTTTGTTGGCAAAAGAAAAAAAATGTAAAAATAAAGAAAAAGAACTCATCTTGTATATACAGAAATTTCTTCAACAAGCATTATAACTGCCACGCGGCCCCACATGCGTAGCGCGTGGGTTCCAACTAGTAATAATAAAAACAACAATGATTCATCCCCCCTTTTCCCCCCACCCCCTTTGACCCCCTCTCTCTCTCATTGGCTACTTTTTCTTTTTCTTTTTCTTTTTTTTCCTACTCCCCCAATCACCACCTGCCACGTGGCAAAAGGGGTGAGGGGGTGACCCCCAAAAGGGGGTCCCAAGCATTATTCTAATAAAAATTGGCTTACCTCTAGTCCAAGACGATGTTGTTGGATTCATGGGATTCATTACGCATTCTGTCTTAATAATCTGAATCAATTAATATGTAAAGTTTATTGACTACTTTATCTTTGTAAAAAATCATGTTGATCGGATATTGACAGTTACTTGATCGGATTAAATTTTTGTCAACAATTTATTTTGAAAATTATATTTATTGTTGACAAAAATTTGATATGATCAAATAGCTATTGATATCCGATCAACGTAATTTTTTTACAGAGATAAAGGGGTATTTTGGAAAGATGGTTAAAAGCCATCTTCTAGCTTTTAACTCATTCTGAGTCACATAATCTCTCAATTTTTTTACATGTTTTTTTTTTTTTTAAAAAAAATTCAAAAAAAAAATTCAAAAAGCCTGTTTTTAACCATCCTTCCAAAACGATCCAAACTATTTGACAAATTCTACACATTGAAAACGGTTCATATTATTGAAGCATGAGCCACATTATTTTCATATCTTAATTTTTCATAGGCCATTATGTCTTCTAATTTTTGTTTCCAATATCAAATTTCTTCATCAATTAGAAAAATTTGGCCTTTCAGTCGATGAATTTTTCCAACACGATAATTTAAATCTCTTTGCTTCAAATATTACGGAGATGATGAAATTATTTGAAAACTTTGCCTATAAAGAGAATTAATTTTTTCTTTTAGGGCTAAAATTTCACTCCCGAACTAATAAATTTCATTATCACAACGCCAAATCATTCTTTTCATATCATTTGTCATGCTATTATGTTGACAATAAACGGTAGAACCACCACCATAACACTAGCAATTTTCAGAAAATGAGACATTCCACTGATAATCTGTTTTCATGGCAACATTGCCACTCCATTGGCTGTTTGTATCCATGGGTACACAAGATGTAAGCATACCTATTGAAGGCATGATTTCATAAGAATAAATCTGCTTCTTCATCATCATCACTCCAAGTTAGAATGGTCTCACTCGGTGTGCCAATTTATGTTGATAAAAATCTAGTTTAAGTCCAATCGACAATGATTTGATCAACAGACTCAAATAAATTTCAAGAAAACACAAATAAAAATTAGGTTTTGTGGTTGAGTTCTTCACTTTAAACAGATTAAGGACTTCCCTAGAAGTAATTAAATAAATAGGAAATGGAACAAAATAGAATATGTATTAATTCAAATAAATTGTCATTTATCACTAGTTACAAGAACTTAAATAAGAACAAAAAATTGAAGAAATATGGCAATCGACAGAAAGACGAGAAGTAGGGGTTGGAAAAAGCTATCAGTTTAATCTACTCCTAGAATGGCTAATTTAGAACTACTCCTAAATAACTCTACACAAATGTGTTTGATGGTTGATAATGATCGATTGATTCTTCGTTGTATCTCTCTTAGCCTATTTATAGGTTCAGCCACATGAGAGGAAGAGATAACTTAAGTCCACGATTTCCTCAACAAGTCCATGATTTCCTCAACATTATCCATATCTCATGTTCGATAGGAACCATTTTGCAGATTTGATGCTTGATTTGATCTTGACTCATTGATCTCAGCAACTAACTTTCAAATTATTGCAATTGCTAACTTTATGGCTCTCCATTTAACATGTCATCATGCTACGTCCTTAGCACATCTGTCATGCAACATTAGCATGTCTATCGACAAAAATAATAACAATAAAGATAAATGTGGTCAAGGTTATTCTTTGAAAATAGTTTATGATTTCAATCGACAGATCATCATCAAACTTGGCCATAATTAATAGGTTACAATCGATAGAAAAATAAAATGTGGTGCAAACAGAGGCATAACAGAGTTTTGATCATCAGAAGAATTGGCTCTCTTTCCCCAAACCACATCAATCAAACCCTACAAAAACTCATGTAACAACCCCGATCCCTGTATAACGTTAATCCGTACTTAATTATGCCTAACAGTAGTTAAGGAGGGATTCTGAATTAATTTGCATGTATGCTTTGCATTATTGTGTTTATATCTGTCTGCTGTAGAAAGATCTATTCATGTTTTGGTTTTGGTTTCGGTTTGTGAATGGAAGGCCTTATTGGCATGTTTCGGTTTGTGAATGGAAGGCCTTATTGGCATCCGAATTAGAAATTGGTGTAGTTATGTGTTGATTGGAATTTTTAGAATTTTATGGTAGGCTTAATTAAAAGTCATTTCGGAACGATTAAATAGGATTGATTTAACTCCACTTAAGTACCTATGACTTGAACTAATAAAAATACCATTTCTTTTGGACCCCACCCATCTCTCCCATCCATTTTGAATGCTTGTTAAGCCATTCTAGAGAAAAACGTGAGAGAGAGTAGAAACATAAAAAGAGAGAGAATTCAAGCTTGAAAAGGGGATTGTAGAGCATTAAAAGGCATTCTGAAGAATTGGCTTGGAAGCTCAAGGAATTGACTCTTTAAAATCCAATAAAGGTAAGAATTTAACCCATAAACTATGTATATGAGTCATCAAGAGCATGAATTCAAGAAGATCTTGTGAATAAGTCTAAGATTTGAGCTAGAAAGGATTAAATTTAAATCAAACCATGCATGCATGCATAATACATCCATTTTGAGTTAATTTTCAGCAAATACTCACATACATAAGCCTAGACTAGCATAATTTTGAGTATTCAACATGATTTGTACTTTACATCTCATTTCCTCTTGGTTTTAAAAGTTTACACTCAAAACATTGTATACATGTATTGGACATAAAGGTTTGATTTGGATTTTAAAGAATTGGCAAGGTTTTGGGCCTTGATTTCTTAAATTGACCCCTTAAACATGTTGTATTATGAGTCCCTAAGTGTTTTCTCAAGTTTTGGCCCAGAAAGGTTGAGTTTGATGCATTGAGTTTGAGTTTAGAACTTGGAAACCAAATATGGAAATTCTAGATTTTGGATGCACGCTCGAGCGTGGAAGTTCACGCTCGAGCGGGCACTCTGAATGCGTGCACTTTTGCTCGAGCGTCATGATGCTCGCTCGAGTGTAAAATGCATATATCCAGAAGTTCATGTATTTTGCAGTCTGCTCGAGCAGGGGAATTCATGCTCGAGCAAAGGTCTGAGTCTCACGCTCGAGCGGAGGTCGAGCGTCCGTCGCGCGTGAAATTCATGCATCCAGTACTTTTGTCAAGTTTTGAAGTCTGCTCGAGCGGGGGAAAGCCACGCTCGAGCGAACCTTCACTTTCTGCATGTCTGCTCGAGCGGGGAAATCCAAACTCGAGTGTGGACCTTATTTTCAGTAAATCTGAGAAATGTTTCCAAGTGCATTTTTGCATCCTCTTTCCATCCTAGGCATTCCTAGGCCATGTTTAAGACTTTATGATGGGGACAAAGACTAAAGGAACGCCAAGAATAAATGAAGCAAGTTATGTATAATTTGATAGTACGTTACAAGTGTGTGTTTGTATGTATGTTCGTGATGTTCGTGTAGGTCGCGTGCCTCGGACCACTTGATTCATCTGCTCTGTTTATCTGCACCCCAAGGGCAACTGTGAGTAATAACTCTGTAAAGTTATGTTAACTTTAAATATTTTCTGACTAATATGATACGATCCGTTTTCTAAAATGCTATTTTATGAATTATGAATGAATGAATGTCCAATTTTCTAAAATGTATTTGTGGCACCCTTAGTTCATGTAACAACCCTCACTACTGTTTACTGATAACACCACCGATTACTGCTAAACTGAGACTGATCATGATAAGTAATTGAATTGGTTGAAATTCTGAGCTAATTGATTGCGTGTATTAGTTTAAATGCACGTCTATCTGTTTGACTGTTAAATGATCTGTTCATATGTTATGTTTTAAACTGCAAATTAAAGGCCTTATCGGCGGCCGAGTCTAAAAATGATTAGTGTTATGTGTTGACTAGAATTTATGTGATTTTTTGGCATATTTAATTGAAATGTGATTTGGTATGTTCAAATTGGATTAAATAATGCTAATTTACAAGAGTTGGACTTATTTACCAAATTGCCATGCTTAGTGGGCCACTTACTCCAACACCTTGAGGCTTGAATACACTTAGACATACTTCTTGCTCAGTCATTTTGAGAGACAAACCGATTGAGAGAGAAAGAGTAGGAGGATAGGCTTGAATTCATCAAGCCTAGGTATGAAATTTATCCTCTTAATTGTGAGTTAAGTTAGTTCTTGCATGGTTCTTGGAAGATTTGAGTTTTAAAGTCAAGAATTGGTTTAAGATTGTTGAATTGAAGCTTGTATCATGCATGCATGTCCTTATATGGAAGTTTTGAGGTGATGTTCATGGAAATTGTTACATGCATGTTCATATTATAGTTCTAGTACATGAATTCATCATGTTTTTTGAAGTTTAGACTCAATTGAGCTTGCATTGAAGCTTTGAATTTGGTTGAGCACTTGCATGCTACATTTAAATTATGTTTTTGAGCTTTGGATGAAAATTGTGCTCAATTGAACTACATTTGGGCTTTGATTTCTCAAATTGATCTTCAAAACATGTTATACTATGAGTTTACAAGTGTTTTCCAGAAAATTAGCCTAAAAGGATCGATTTTGGTACATTTAAAGTTGATTTTGAGCTTGAAGGTTCAATCTGGAATTTCTAGAATTTGGACCCACGCTCGAGCGAGGAACTCCACACTCGAGCGTACACCTTGTGTTCGTGCAGTCCGCTCGAGCGAGAAAAGTGACGCTCGAGCGTGAAATGCATGTATCCAGTACTTTGCATGTGTTTATAGTCCGCTCGAGCGAGAGAGTTCACGCTCGAGCGAGGACTTGTGTCTCACGCTCGAGCGTGGATCGAGCGCCCGTCAAGCGTGATTTTTGTGCATCCAGTATTTTTACTGTAGCTTACAGTCCGCTCGAGCGACGGAAGTCACGCTCGAGCGGAGCTCCTTTGTCTGCATGTCCGCTCGAGCATAGAAAGCCACGTTCGAGCGAGACCCTTGTTTTCTGAAATTTTGAAAAGTGTTTTTTAAATGCATCCTTGCATCCTCATTCCATCCTAGGCATTCTTAGGCCTAGTTTAAGGCATCTTAATGAGGATATTGATGTAGAACCACACCGAGGCAAATTAGGGATTAAGTTATTATTTCCCAACTGTGTAGCTTAGTGTGTGTTCGTTCTGTAACTGTCTAGGGTTGGCATCTGAGGACGCTTTAGCTTATCTGTAGCCCAGAATTCTGTGAGTAACTATGTTGTAAAGATATGTTCAATTAAGATTATTTTCTGAATAAATGACTGTATTGCTTTATGAAACGACACTGTTTACTGAATGAATGTTTGTCCTATTTGTGAACTGTATTCGTGGCATCCATAGCAATTTACTATTACTGAACTGTTACTGCTACTGTTACATAGATCTCTGTCGGTTCCTATGTTGGAACCACTATTGTTTACTGATATGATGGCCATCAACTGACTGTTCGGTCTGTTAAGACCTACTGTACTGTTTAGCTATCGGATGTATCACATATGACTATTATAGTTTCTGAATGATTGTTATGGCATGAATTATGAGCCACAAACTGAATGACTGATATACTGATAAACGACCGTTTTCAATACTGAAAGGACATTCATTCTTAACCCCTTTACGCATATGTTATTCACTGGGCTTTAGCTTACTGTTTATATATATATATATATATGTAGGTGTTCAGGCACCGGACCGGAGTTAGGAGCGTCGGATTAGCTCTTGTTTTGTTAAACCAACCAACGTGCCTCACTGCAAGGTTCCAAGTGCTGCCAAGCTAAGCCTGCTTCGGGGTGTTTTAGATTCTCCCTTTTTGTCTCTGTTTTGTATAGACTGTATAGATTGTTACTGTACTGTTATGGTAGGGATTTGGTTCCTAACTGAATACCTGTATTTGATGTATGTACATACTGTTATGGTCGAAATGTGTATATGTTTAAAAAGTCTTTTTGCATACAGACTATCACAGCTCATTGGACATCTTTTAATTACTATTTTGGCTTTCGCCAGCCCCTGTACTCTGTATTACTGTTTTACTGTTAAGCAGGCCTTCGGTAATCTCGGATTACTGGCCAGTTACGGTGCTAAACCCATAGGGACGGGTTTGGGTCGTAACAGTTCACGTGGCCCTCACCCGGGGATAACAATACCATGGCCAATCTGCACGTGGCCCTTGCCTAAAGGTAACAATATTGTGGTTTATATTCACGTGGCCCATGCCCGGGGGTAACAATATCGAGGCCTATATTCACGTGGTCCATGCCCAGGGGTAACAATACCGAGGCCTATATTTACGTGGCCGTCGCCTGGGGGTAACAATACCATGGCTACTTGCGCACAAGATATGGGCCATTATGGTCGTTGGTACCGACTATGCATGTGGGTCTCTGGACCAAGTTGATATGATAGCTAATGAGTGTACCACGTATGATCTTATGAAAAATCTGAATATGAACATGAGTGTGTATCTGAATCTATTTCTGATTTGAAGTCTGAATATATTTCTAATATAAATTCTGAATCCTAACTTGTGCTGGATATCATTCATTAAAACCCTTTACCTAGTTATTATTCACTGGGCTCTAGCTCACTGTATTATTTATATGTATGTAGGTGGGCAAGCGCATGACCAGGCCTGAGATACCGTCTGGCGAGTTTTGGTGTCAGCCAGCCATCATGCCTCCCGTGGAGGTTCCTTTTGAGATCTACCCGAGTTTGTAGTCGTTGGGACTTTTGTATTTTTGAAATGTTTTTGTCTGGCCTGAACACGTAGGAATCTTGTATATGTGGCTTGGATGATGTAAGGCTACTATATTTTAATGCCTTATATGTATGTATGCAAATATGTATATAAAAGTTTCAAATATTCTGTCCCATGTATGTCTGCACGGTTCTATGGACTATGTAACTTTGTATATTTGCTTCTACAGCCCCTGTTATACATATTATTCTGTTCAGAGGCCTTCGGTGATCCAAGGATTACTGGCCGGTTACGATGCTAAACCCTTAGGGGCGGGTTTGGGTCGTGACAGAGTGGTATCAGAGTAGGTGTTCTATCGCACACACTGGTCCATATGAGCTTAGGACGTCCTAGTAAGAATTAGGGGCATTCTCTCTGCATGTGTGAGTGTGTGGTAATTCAAATGGATATGAAAACTGAACGTAAACCTGAGCAAATGAGATTGAAAGAAATGAATGAGATTATTCCTATGTTTACTATCATTTGGTGTCTCTATAGCAACATGGAGAATGCAAGGGGAAATGATGTAAGTGAATCCTCAGAGCCTCGCATGGGCCGGATGGAACAAATGCTTGCAGCATTGACTGAAGCTATGACACAACAACAAAGACAACAACCTATACCTCCTCCGCCTCCACCAGTACTAGCCGAACCGGACAATAATGACATCATCAATTTGACTCAGAAATTTATGAAAATGAAGACGCCGACCTTCTTCGGTGGTATTGAACCATTGAAAGCAAAAACCTGTTTATTAGAAATGGAAAAACTATTTGAAGTATTTTCTTGTTCTGCAACTCAGAAAGTCCTTTTGGCTATTTATACTCTAAAAGATGAAGCCTGGAGATGGTGGCTGCTGGTTCGAAATAACAATGGAGACATGACATGGGCACAATTCAACGAGATATTCTACAACCAATATTTTCCCCAATGCTTCAAGGACCGAAAAGTTTTAGAATTCCAAGAACTCAAACAAGACAGAATGTCTGTGGCTGAATATGAAGCTAGGTTTACTGAACTAGCTCGTTTTGCTCCGCATATGGTAGACACTGATTACAAGAAAGAGCGAAATTTTGAGGGAGGACTGGACCTGGAAATATTTGATCGAGTGGGTGTCCTAAAATTACCTACTTATGTGGAAGTGCTCAACAGGGCATTGATGGCAGAAGCCACAATAGCAGCTAAGAAACAAACTACAACTCCAATAACCGAATGGAGAGGAAAGAGGACTGGATTTAATTTCAAGAAAGGCCGGTCATTTTCGAAGAAGCAAAATACAGGATCTTCCAGTAGCTCTAGCCAAAGTAGCGGATCTACTCCAAACTATCCCAACTGTGGAAGGAAGCACATAGGTGCTTGTTATCGAACATTAGGTACGTGTTTTCGATGTGGCAAGACTGGCCACATGGTGAGGGATTGCCTGATGAGATCCAATGAGGTTAGCCGTCCTGTGACAAGTTCAACCGAGTCTGTTTCTGCAGCAAGATCAAATGCAAGGACCGATGTTAGGGGTAATGCAAACAATGAAACATTGAAGCAAGGGAGAGTGTTCGCACTAGTGCCCGGAGAGGTACAGAATACAGAGTCTGTGGTGTCAGGTATAATTTCCATTTGTGCCTAGAATGCATATGTCTTGATAGATTCTGGTTCTACGCACTTATTTGTGTCGCATGCTTTCTCTCAGAAATTAACTAGACCGCTTGAACTTATGCCATGTATGTTATCTGTATCTACACCGTTTGGAGAATCTATGAAATGTGCTTTTGTTTATCTGGCATGTAATGTTTTGATTGGTGATATGACATTATACATTGACCTGCTGCCTTTGAATATAAATCATTTTGATTGCATCCTGGGCATGGATTGGCTGACTAAATATTGTGCTACTATTGATTGTGTGAATAAAACCGTCATATTTAAACCACCTGGTATGCCTGAGTTTACTTTTATTGGGAATGGGGTAGTTCCTCCGCCATACTTGATTTTATTTATGAAAGCCAGAAGACTGTTAAGAACGGGGTGTCGGGGCTATTTGTGTAGTGTGTTGATTGTGTCTCCGAATAGTGCCAGTGTAGAAACTATTCCTGTGGTTTGTGATTTTCCTGATGTGTTTCCTAATAGTCTACCCGGGGATTTAGTTGATAGGGAAATCGAATTTACTATTGATGTGACACCTAGAACACAGCCCATCTCCAAGACTCTGTATAGGATGTCGACTTCTGAACTGAAAGAATTAAAAGTCCAACTCCAAGAACTCTTAGACAAGAAATTCATTCGTTCGAGTACTTCACCTTGGGGTGCTCCAGTGTTATTTGTCAAAAAGAAGGACGGATCTTTGAGATTATGTATTGACTATCGGGAACTGAACAGGGTGACCATTAAGAATAAATATCCATTACCCTGAATAGATGATTTGTTTGATCAACTCCAAGGAGCCAAAGTGTTCTCAAATATTGATCTTAGGTCTGGATATCATCAGTTAAAGGTTAAAGTAGAGGATGTAGAGAAAACTGCAGTCAGGACTAGACATGGACATTATGAATTTTTGGTAATGCCTTTTGGGGTAACAAATGCGCCTGCAGCTTACATGGACCTAATGAATAGGGTTTTCAAACACTATCTCGATGAATTCATTGTTGTGTTTATTGATGACATTTTGGTTTATTCTAAAGACAGAGAAGAACATGGGAACCATCTGAGAACTACCTTGCAGATTTTGAGAGAAAAGAAATTGTATGCTAAATTGTCCAAATATGAATTCTGGCTTGACAGTGTAGCATTTTTGGGACATGTAATCAATAAGGAGGGCATTTCTGTTGACCCTCAGAAGATTGAAGCTATTGTGGATTGGCCTAGACCGAAAAATGTAACAGAAGTTAAAAGTTTTCTAAGAGTAGCTGGTTATTACAGAAGATTTGTGAAAGACTTCTCAAAGCTTGCAATGCCATTAACACAATTAACACAGAAGAATGTACAGTTTAATTGGAATGATCAACGTGAAGCAACTTTTCAAGAATTGAAAACCAGACTGGTAACTGCACCGATCCTAACCTTACCTAATGGTACTAATGGGTTTCAGATTTATAGTGATGCTTCGTATAAAGGGTTGGGCTGTGTACTGATGCAAAATGGGAATGTAATTGCTTTTGCCTCTCGACAGCTTCGTCCTCATGAAAAGAACTACCTAACCCATGATCTGGAACTGGCAGCTGTGGTTTTTGCCTTGAAAATCTGGCGTCACTACTTGTATGGGGTAACTTGTGAGGTGCATACCGGTCATAAAAGCTTGAAATATTTCTTCACCCAAAAAGAATTGAACATGAGACAGAGGTGATGGTTAGAGCTAATTAAAGATTATGATTTGCAGATTTTGTATCACCCAGGAAAAGCTAATACCGTAGCAGATGCCTTGAGCCGAAAGTCAATGGGAAATTTGTCATGTTTATTTATGTAACTATCTAGAATTTCTCCCTCCGCTCGAGCGGAGAAGTTGACGCTCGAGCGGACTTGAGAGGTTCTCAGTATTTTTGTAGACGGTCTGAAATTCTGAGAGTTGTGAATTCCCGCTCGAGCGTAGGAGTGGTCGCTCGAGCAGACAGCTTTGTTGGTCAGTGCGCTCGAGCGTGGAAAGCGACGCTCGAGCATGGAAAGTGAGTTTGCCCTTGACATTTTTATTAGTGTATTTGGAACCTCCTTATTTTATTTTGGGGTATTGATTGAGGTGGTAACATGATGGTAAAATAAGATTGAATCAAAAACTTTAATTCGAATAATTTACCTACGATCAGCCGTCACTCTTTTGCCCTTTTCTTTTTCCACACTTTGAATTTGGGTGTGAGGCTAGAATTATTGAAAATATTGTTTTCAGGGCTTCAATTTGGACACAAGAACGACCTAAAATGGAGTCCAGATGAGAGAGTTATGCCTGTTTGAAGTTTTGGAATCTGTGCTGGAAGCAGGTACGCTCGAGCGGATTGCGCAAATTCAGCAAGTTTAAAGGCACTTTTCAAGATCATTCTTCTCACTTTCATCTCCTCTCTTCATTCCTCTCACCCTAGGTTCGAAAACCCTAGGTTTTGACCTCAAATGCCTTCCATTTCCCTAAGAATTGACCAAGATCTCTTACCAAAAAGTGAAGAAGGCTTGAAGCTCAACATTTTCAACCGATTGGAATTTGGGTTTGCAAAGGATTTTTCTCAAAGCTTTGCTCTCTTGCTTGATTCTTAAGGTAGGGGTCCTAGTTCTTCTTCAATACTTACATTAATAGATAGATTTGTAGTATTTTGATTATATAAATGCAAAATCTACATTTTTTTAGCATATAGTGTTACATCATGAGATTTGGGGGTTTAGGGTTTGAAGTGTTGGGGGTTCAATTGTTGGGTTAATATTATGGATTATGAATCTTAGGTGTATAATCAATGGGAAAATTGGAATAAAAAGTAATGGTTTAAGAAGTTTGAATTTTTCTTGAAATTCTTGATTTTCTTGAAATTCTTGATTTTCTTGAAAACCCTAAGTTGATTCATGATGATAAATAAGGATTTTGCCCAAATTGAAAGTAGAATCATGAAATTGGTAGGTTGAATTTTATATGTACAAGTTTAATTGGATTTTGGAGGTGTTTGAAAATTATGTTAAAAATTAGCGATTGAACCTTTACTATGGATATTATAAATTTACATGCATCATAGATTTCTTGAGATTGAGAAGGATTTGAGATTAAATTCATGGAATTAGGAAGAAATTCGGTTTTGAACATAAAATGAGTTACATGCATGTTTGATTATGGAAGCTAATTATTTTGGATTTGCTTTTGAATATCTTACATGAGTTTGAGTCTAGTTCTTATATGCATGAACAAATTCTACAAAATTTGATATTCTAATTGTACATTTGATTTTGAAAAAAAAGTTTAGAAAACCATGAGTTCATGGGTTTTGATTTTGAAATTAAGTAAGGTTTTGATTTAAATAAATTAATTATTATGTTTCAAGATTTTGAGCAAATAATTTATGAATAAATAAGTGTTTATATTTTCTAAGGCATTTTCATGGTTTTGATCAAGTTATGCATGGATTTAAAAAGAATTGAAAATGCGTTTGGAAGCCATTTTTGAGAAGTTCGAAATTCTGAAATTTATAGACCTCTCGAGCGGACTAATTGCCGCTCGAGCGCAAATTGAAGGCTTTCAGTACTTTTATAGTCTCTTACAGACCGCTCGAGTGACTAAAGGCTCGCTTGAGCGAACAACTATTCTCAACATATTTTGGAAAGTTACATTTAGTTCGTATTTTTATTCTCATCTCTTCCCAAAGCATTCTAAACATGATTTATGACTCAATAAAGATCAATAAGCTACCAATCAACATAAATTAGTTGATTAAAGAATAAGTCATTAACTTAGCGATACTTGATTAAGAAGCCAAGTGAGGAATTGGTTTATTCAGAAAAGAACAATTTAGTAATAAAAGGGATTTGTGAAATGAGAACCCGATTCATCTGATTAAAAAAAATAAATAAATAAGCGTAATGGGCCTTCGAATTATTTAGACAGAAAACAAGAAAGTCAAGTTTGATCAAGGGAGTAATATCGTGCTTCAATGTATATATGCTATGTGTTTGTGTAGGTCACGCGCTATTGTCTACTTGACCTATCTGATCTGCTTCTGCTACTATCTGTGAGTAGTCACTCTGTAAAGTTTGTTTAACTTTAAGTATTTCCTGACTAATATGATACGATCTGTTTTTCGAAATGTTATTTTATAGATTATAAATGAATGTTCAATTTTTTGAAATGTATTTGTGGCATCCTTAGTTCACGTGGCCCTCGCCTGGGGGTAACAATACCGTGGCCAATATGCACGTTGCCCTCGCCCAGGGATAACATTACTGTGGCTTATATTCACGTGGCCCTTGCCCGGGGGTAACAATACTGAGGCCTATATTCACGTGGCCCTCGCCTGGAGGTAACAATACCATGGCGACTTGTGCGCAAGATATGGACCTTTATGGTCGTCGGTACCGACTATGCATGTGGGTCTCAAGACCAAGTTGATATGTTAGCTAATGGGTGTACCACGTATGATCTTATGCAAAATCTGATTATGAATATGAATATGAATATGAATATGAATATGAACATGTATCTGAATCTATTTCTGAATTGAAATCTGAATATGCATAAGCCTCTGTTTCCGATAAGAATATGTTTTTGATATAAACTATAATTTCTAACTCAGTGATGGACATCATTCATTAAAACCCTTTACTCTGTTATTATTCACTGGGCTCTAGCTCACTGTATTATTTATGTATGTAGGTGATCAGGTGCGTGACTAGGCTTAGAGGCATCTGCCTGGAATCCGTTTTTGTCAGCCAACCTATGTACCTCTCGTGGAGGTTCCGGATATGTCAAGTGACTATGGCCATGTAATTTAAAGTTTAAGTTTTGTTTTCTTGCCTGGTTAAACAAGTCTTGTGTATTTTGTAAATGGGGCTAAGTCCCTTTTTGTTCAATCTGTATATATATATTATGACGTAAGGATGACGTGTATATCTGTACATAAAAAGTTTAAAATTTTTCTGTCTCATATAGGTCTGCACAGCTCATTGGACGTTGTATATTTGTTATTTGCTTCCGCTAGCCACTAATATTATGTTAATTTATCTTAGAAGCCTTTGGTAATCCCAGGATTACTAGCCGGTTGCGATGCTAAACCTGTAGGGACGGGTTTGGCTCGCGACAATTTACCAGCCAAGAAGAACTATTATATGACTTGGAGAAAAATGAGATTGAGATCGTGAAACGTGAACAGGGTAGAATACTAGCCGCTATGTCCGCTCAGCCTGCAATCATCGAAGAAGTCAAAGAGAAGCAACTTGAAGATGAATACTTGAAAAAGGTTGTAGAAGAACTTGATTAAAAGCCGAGACCAGAATTTGCGTTTGAGAATAATGTGCTGAAATTTCAAAATCGTCTTTGTGTACCTAATTGCTGTGACTTGAGAAAGCGTGTTATGTTTGAAGCCCACAACACAAAGTTTTCCATGCATCTGGAAAACACAAAAATGTATCATGATTTGAGACATAATTTTTGGTGGCCTGGAATGAAAAAGAGTATTGCAGATTTTGTGGCTAGATATCTACATTGCCAACAGGTTAAAGCTGAACATCAACGACCAGCTAGTTTACTGCAACCACTTCCAATACCAGAATGGAAATGAGAGCACATAACCATGGATTTCATAGTGGGATTGCCTCACTATTCCCGAGGTATGGATTTTATTTGGGTCGTTGTAGACCGTTTAACTAAGTCTGCTCATTTCCTACCTGTTAAATCTATTTATAATACAGACAAATTGACCAATATTTATATGACTGAGATTGTGAGATTGCATGGAATGCTAGTATCTATTGTATCTGACAGGGACTCAAAGTTTGTGTCAAGATTTTGGCAGAGTTTGCAACAGGCATTGGGGACTTAACTGAGGTTGAGTAGTGCCTATCACCCATAAACCGATGGACAGACTGAACGGACTAACCAAACCTTGGAAGATATGCTCAGAATGTGTGTCTTAGATTTCCAAGGGAACTGGGAGACCTACTTGACATTGGCCGAGTTTGTGTATAACAACAGTTACCATTCAAACATCGAAATGGCTCCTTATGAAGCTTTGTATGGTAGGAAATGCCGATCTCCGATTTGCTGGGCCGAAGTAGGTGACAAACCGTTGTTGGGACAGGAACTTGTGCAAGAAACAACTGAAAATGTTAAGCTGATTCAGCAGAGACTGAAAACCGCATAGAGCCGACAAAAGAGTTATGCTGATGTTCGAAGAAGAGATAGGAAATACGAAGTTCGGGACCATGTGTTTATCAAAGTGACTCCAATGAAAGGGCAAACTCGGTTTGGTGTCAATGGTAAGTTGGCGCCAAGATATGTTAGACCATATGAAGTTCTGGAGAAAATCAACCTAGTAACGTATCGGGTGGCCTAACCACCGGTTATGGAGCATATGCATAATGTCTTTCATGTCTCTATGCTTCGAAATTATTGAGGGATCCGTTACATATGATTGAGCCAACTTATGCACTGTTAAAGGATGATTATACTTACGAGGAAATGCCTATTCAAATTGTGAACCACAGGATTAAAAGACTAAGAAACAAAGAAATTCCGTTAGTGAATGTGGATTGGCAGAATCATCGAGGAACTTATGCAACTTGGGAAACAGAAGAAGACATGATGAAAAAATATCCAGATTTGTTTCCATTGGACCCAATGTTCTTCCAGAATGAAGGTAATTTAAGTTTGGAGGACTAAACTCTTTTAAGGGGGGAAGACTAACAACCCCGATCCCTGTATAACGTTAATCCGTACTTAATTATGCCTAATAGTAATTAAGGAGGGATTTTGAATTAATTTGCACGTATGCTTTGCATTATTGTGTTTCTATCTGTCTGCTGTAGAAAGATCTGTTCATGTTTTGGTTTCGGTTTGTGAATGGAAGGCCTTATCGGCATCCGAATCAGAAATTGGCGTAGTTATGTATTAATTGGAATTTTTAAAATTTTATGGTAGGCTTAATTAAAATTCGTTTCGGAACGATTAAATAGGATTGATTTAACTCCACTTAAGTGCCTATGACTTGAACTAATAAAAATACCATTTCTTTTGGACCCCACTCATCTCTCCCATCCATTTTTGAATGCTTGTTGAGCCATTCTAGAGAAAAACATGAGGGAGAGTAGAAACATAGAAAGAGAGAGAATTCAAGCTTGGAAAGGGGATTGTAGAGCATTAAAAGGCATTCAGAAGAATTGGCTTGGAAGCTCAAGGAATTGACTCTTTAAAATCCAATTGAGGTAAGAATTTAACCCATAAACTATGTATATGAGTCATCAAGAGCATGAATTCAAGAAGATCTTGTGAATAAGTCTAAGATTTGAGCTAGAAATGATTGAATTTAAGTTAAACCATGCATGCATGCATAATACATTCATTTTGAGTTAATTTTCAACAAATACTCACATGTATGAGCCTAGACTTGCATAATTTTGAGTATTCAACATGATTTTGTACTTTACATCTCATTTCCTCTGGGTTTTAAAAGTTTACACTCAAGACATTGCATGCATGTATTTGATATAAAGTTTTGATTTGGATTTTAAAGAATTGGCAAGCTTTTGGGCCTTGATTTCTTAAATTGACCCCTTAAACATGTTGTATTATGAGTCCCTAAGTGTTTTCTCAAGTTTTGGCCCAGAAAAATTGAGTTTGATGCATTGAGTTTGAGTTTAGAACTTGGAAACCAAATCTGAAAATTTCAGGTTTTGGATGCACGCTCGAGCGTGGAAGTTCACGCTCGAGCGGGCACTCTGAATGCGTGCACTTTCGCTCGAGCGTCATGATGCTCGCTCGAGCGTGAAACGCATATATCCAGAAGTTCATGTGTTTTGCAGTCCGCTCGAGCGGGGGAATTAACGCTCAAGCGAAGGTCTGAGTCTCACGCTCGAGCAGAGTTCGAGCGTCTGTCGCGCGTGAAATTCATGCATCCAGTACTTTTGTCAAGTTTTGCAGTCCGCTCGAGCGGGGGAAAGCCACGCTCAAGCGAACCTTCACTTTCTGCATGTCCGCTCGAGCGGGGAAATCCACCCTCGAGTGTGGACCTTATTTTCAGCAAATCTGAGAAATGTTTCCAAGTGCATTTTTGCATCCTCTTTCCATTCTAGGCATTCCTAGGCCATGTTTAAGACTCTATGATAGGGACAAAGACTAAAGGCACGCCAAGAATAAATAAAGCAAGTTATGTATAATTTGATAGTACGTTACAAGTGTGTGTTTGTATGTATGCTTGTGTAGGTCGTGTGCCTCAGATCACTTGATTAATCTGCTCTGTTTATCTGTACCCGAAGGCAACTGTGAGTAATAACTCTGTAAAGTTATGTTTAACTTTAAGCATTTTCTGACTGATATGATACGATCCGTTTTTTGAAATGCTATTTTATGAATTATGAATGAATGTCTAATTTTTTGAAATGTATTTGTGGCACCCTTAGTTCACGTGGCCCTCGCCCAGGGGTAACAATACCGCGACCAATCTGCACGTGGCCCTCGTCTAGAGGTAACAATACTGTGGCTTATATTCACGTGGCCCATGCCCGAGGGTAACAATACCGAGGCCTATATTCATGTGGCCCTCGCCTGGGGGTAACAATACCATGGCTACTTGCACGCAAGATATGGACCTTCATGGTCGTTGGTACCAACTATGCATGTGAGTCTTTGGACCAAGTTGATATGATAGCTAATGGGTGTACCACGTATGATCTTATGAAAAATCTGAATATAAACATGAGTGTGTATCTGAATCTATTTCTGATTTGAAATCTGAATATGTTTCTGATATAAATTCTGAATCCTAACTTGTGCTGGATATCATTCATTAAAACCCTTTACCTAGTTATTATTCACTGCACTTTAGCTCACTGTATTATTTATATGTATTTAGGTGAGCAAGCGCATGACCAGGCCTGAGATACCGCCTGGCGAGTTTTGGTGTCAGCCAGCCATCATGCCTCTCGTTGAGGTTTCCTTTTGAGATCTACTCGAGTTTGTAGTTGTTAGGACTTTTGTATTTCTGAAATGTTTTTGTCTGGCCTGAACACGTAGGAATCTTGTATATGTGGCTTGGATGATGTAAGGCTACTGTATTTTAATGCCTTATATGTATGTATGCAAACATGTATATGAAAGTTTCAAATATTCTGTTCTATATATGTCTGCATGGTTCTATGGACTATGTAACTTTGTATATTTGCTTCCGCAGCCCCTGTTATACATATTATTCCGTTCAGAGGCCTTCAGTAATCCAAGGATTACTGGCTGGTTACGATGCTAAACCTTTAAGGGCGGGTTTGGGTCGTGACAACTCATCTCTCTTCTTCTGCAAAATCACCATACTCTTCCTCAACTACCCGTAATCAATCTATCTCAAAATTGGAACATAATCGCACAAATTTGACGGCGAACTCACAAGAAACTTCTCTATCAATCCTTCAACAAATCGCTTTCCCAACAAAAAGATATAAATTAATATAAAATAAAAAAATAAAAAAAGAAGACAATTGCAATAAGTAGGCCAATTAACAGATTAGATTCAATCTGAATCCGTTAACAAATGCCCAATCTCGTAATGTTATAAAATCTAGGGTTAATTATACAAATAGTCCATGTACTTTACACGATATGTCAATTTGATCCCTGTAGTTTCAATTTGCTCGATTTTGCCCCTTAATTTAACAGATTGTGTCATTCTAGTTCAATAAATAACGGTTGTTAAATTAATTTAACGGAAGATCAAATAATGTGTCAATTTGGTTCCTATAGTTTTAATTTTTTCGATTTTGACAGAGACTAAATTAACACATTGTGAAAAATACAGGAACCAAATTGACACATTATTTGACTTTCCGTTAATTTAACTTAACAACCGTTATTTATTGGACTAAATGACACAATTCGTTAAATTAATGGGCAAAATCAAAAAAATTAAAACTACAGGGACTAAATTGACACATCGTGTAAAGGACATGATCTATTTACATAATTTTCCCTAAAATCTATGATTTATCTAATTTGTAATAATATGATCTGATCTGATTTACATACTTTAAATTTTACTTTTGTATGTGTATATATATATATATATACATGGGGGATTGAGAACTTCTATATTCCATGATTGTAATGGAGGTTCTCTGTGTGAACTTTGTTTGGAAAATAAGTTCGATTTTTTTATTTTTTTTTACTATTTTAATTAAGGGCTAAAAACCACTTTTGGATTAGATTTTTTAATTTTTTAAATTTTTGTGATAAAAAAAATAAAATGATTATGATTTAAATGTGATATTTTGTCTTATTAACTTTTTTGTCTATTTTGTCTTTTTATGACTATTTTAACTAAAAAAGCCTTCTAACCCAACATGCCAAATGAGGGTTATAATATCTATGGGTTGTGATATTAATATTTTAAATTTAAAAAGAATCATTACAAATCCTTAAATAATGTAATGAAGATCTTCCATTATAACTTTAGAATGGAAAGGATCATAATTCATGCAAGGCAATAACATCCACACACACCAACAAACACACACCAACAAAAAAAAAATTATATTAACTTGGTTTAAACTTCTTGCACTTTAATTTTTATCTTTTAATCTCTCATAAAATAAAATAAGCCTAAAATTTTAAGTATGATGTGTGGCTGTCATTATCTATTATACTTATTTCGTGGGATAAATTCCAAAAATTTTGAAATGTTATTTATAACATTACAATAAAATACAATACGATAATCACATAATGATATATATATATATCAAATCCAATAATCCTATAGTAAAATCACATCTAAATTCAATTGGATCATATTTTCGAATTGAATAATTGGATAAACTTGATTAAGATGATTTCTTATTCAATCTGTCAGATCAGATGGGATTCCGATTATGGAAAATTTGATCCGTTGACTAGCCTAATCATAACTAGCTAAAAATAAAGATCCATTAGCACACTTCAATTTTGAAATTGAGAGAGGAGTTCAAGTGCATTTTTTCTTGGAATGCACACGACCTCTAAAGCTTCAGCCTTGAGCAGAGGTTTTGAATCTATGATCAAGCTCTTTTTTTCTCGAACCTCCTCCAATTCAAAACACTGAATAAGTGAGCCCAAAGCCAAGGAAATTCCCCGCACACCCATGTTGGCACCGGGACACGCCCTCCTCCCTATTCCAAATGGAACAAATTTGAATCCTTCTCTTTCCCCTTCAAACCTCTCCGGCTTGAACTTGTCAGGCTCTTCCCAAACCTTGGGATCCCTATGCAAGCCCGAAGCATTCACCAACAGAGTCGTACCGCGAGGTATTTCAAATCCCCCAACAGTGCAATCTTCAGATGAATAACGTGGTAATAGAAGCGGCGCAGGAGGATATAGCCTTAGGGTTTCATTGATGACACATTGGAGAAAGGGAAGCTTGGAAAGATCAGAGTCATCTAGCAAACGCCTATGTCCAACTTGGTTGTCAATCTCTGCTCTGGCCTTCTGGAACGTCGACGGATGATTTAAAAGAAACGACACTGCCCGTTCCATCGTGACTATTGATGTTCCTGTTCCTCCCAAAAACATCACCTAAACACATGTTAAACATGTCTTAACAACATTAAAAATTAAGAAGTCATTCAACTTAAGCCTCTCCCAACCTCATTACCTGAATTAAAAAGAAAACATATATAATTATGTGATGTAATAGCCATTTTGTCAAGCCCCATGAAAATGATGGATATGTATTATTAACAGTTTAGTCAATAGAATAGACTCATTCAATTAGCACAACTTAGAATTTTCATACCTTGTAAACAAACTCACAAAAATAATGTAAAGGTAAGAATACGAACATAATTTGTAAATAAAAAAACTTCCTCATACCTATTTTTTCTCTTAAAAGTAAAAATGTTATTATTTAGTGGTTATATGGTGGTGATGATGGCGGCCGCAGCGGTAATATTATAGTACCAAAAAAACATTTATTTCTAAAAATCATAAATTGATAAAGATCGATCCTAATAGAGAGCATACATCAATCATTATTGTATTGAAGATGCATACATTGATGATAAATAATGAAGTAAAACAAGTAGGAAAAGGAAAATCATATAACACTTACCAGTATTAAACTCTTGATGAGATCGTCCGTATAAAAATCAGGTTCCGATTCTTGGAGGCATAACAGAGTTCCGATCAACGTTTTCTTATCGCCTCCCTCATCGGCTCTCTTTCGCCGAACCTGATCAATCAAACCCTGCAAAAACTCATCTCTCTTCTTCTGCAAAATCACCATACCCTTCTTCACCCCTCCGTAATCAATCCATCTCAAAATCGGAACATAATCGCACAAATTCGACGGCGAACTCCTAAGAAACTTCTCCTTCAATCCTTCAACAAATCGCTTCCCCAATTCCGTCCCTGCATCCTCATCCCTCACGCATCGATCACCAGCAACGAGCCTCGTCGTCATATTGAATGTCAATAGAGTGAACCAGTACTCCAAATCCACCTCTCGATTCCCAATCTTCATCAAGTGAGAGAGAATGTTACGAATTTCTTGTTCGCGGACGATCGAGGACTTCTGGAGGCTTTTGGAAGAGAAGAGTTCAACGACGGCGAGGCGGCGGAGGCTCCGCCACAGGTCGCCGTACGGAGCCCACACGACGGCGGTGTAATTGTAGGTTAAGTAATCGCCGGCGATCGATCGCGGGCGGTTCGCGAATACGACGTCGTTCTTGGTGAAGCATTCTTCGACGGCGGAGGGAGAGGAGACGACCAGGGTAGGCCGAGAGCCAAATCGGAGAAACAAAATAGGACCGTGTTTGGATGATAAGTGATTTAATGCTTCCTGGGGTGAGTTTTTGATGAGGTGGAGGTGGCCGATTATGGGGAGAGCGAAGGGGCTTGGTGGTAATTTGGAATTGCGATGGAAGAAGTGTTTGAATATGACGAGTGAGAAGAGTAGCAGAGCCAAGTAATAGGGCAAGTTTTCCATGACAAAGGGAAGCAAGTTTTAGTGTAGAATTTGTAAAGTTTGGTTGTGATCCAGGAATTAATTTGAATGTGAAGTTTGAAACACAGTGACGCGTTTTAGGGCAAATTACATATACCTCTTCAAAGTTTAGCTAAATGACAGATATTATTGAGATTTTAAAAATTATAGATACTTTTTGAGATTTATATTTTCATAATAAATTGTCCTTTGAGATTTATATTTTCATAATAATTTATCCCATAATTTGTTATGCAAATAATACATTAAGAGGAGTATCTGTAATTTTTTAAATCTTAAGAAATATCTATAATTTTGTTAAATCTCAAAAGGTATAAGTAATTTGCCCTAAGTTTTATAGTGATATACTTGTGACAGACATTCTTGGCCTCCAATGGCTTGTCTTGACTTGGATTTTGTCTACCTCTAGTTTTAGGGCATTTCACTTAACTTTATCTATACTATACATTACGTAAAAAGGAATTTTTAATCCTCAAAATTTGTAAGAGTTTTAATATTTCAATTTGAATTTTTTAAATTTTTATTAAAAAAAAAAACTCAGTATTTATTGATTTGGTCAAAATCCCTTTATCAGCATTTATTAACTTTTTTCAATTCATATGTATTTCCACATGTATGCATTTATTGATACAATCTTCTGATCAGTATTTAAAATCAACTCATACAAGTAATTATAGATACAATCCGTGTATAGTTACTGCAGTACCCTTTTCAACTTTTCCCATATACTATGGTTGGTGATAAGATTGTTAAATTATTTTTATAAAAATCTTGAAAAACATAATTTATATATTAAAAAAAATCTAAAACAAATATAAATATTTATAATTATCTCGTGCATAGCACGGGTGATAGACTAGTATCAAATTATACAAAAACTATGATTTTAAGAAGTGGGTTAAAAGGTTAATTTTTTAATTTTTTTTAAAAATATCTAAAAATTAGAGGAGTAATGTGATTTTAAAAAATTAAAATATTAATAAGTTAACTTTTAGGCACCGTTTGGGAAGTCAAAGCTGGGCTATTTTAGCCATGTCACGACAAAAGTGACTGTTTTAGCCACATGCCGACAAAACCCTCATAATCACTTGGCTAAAACCATTGCATCGGTAAATTTACGAAAATACCCCCCATGAGAGAGGGGCATCACCTCAGCATTTCCCACAGACAAAAGCTTCATCACTTCCAAAGAACACGTTTTCCCAGAAAAGGAACTAATGGACGTTGAAAAAAAAAATTAAAAACATTTTTTTGGTTTTTGTTAAAATATTTATAAAAATAAATTCAAACTCTATTTATAAAAATATTTTTAAAAATTTTAATATTTTTGTTATGTATTTAGTTATGATTTGAGTGTAGAGTTGTAAAAGTAGTATGGAGTTTCAAGTTATGTATTTGGTTATGAATTGTAAAAATAATTTACTAATAAAATTTTATTTTATGTGTTTGGTTACGATTTGAGTGTAGAGTTGTTTTTAAATTAAAAATATTAACATTTTAAATTATTTAAATTTTTTGAATATTTAATTATTTAAATCTTTTTGTTAAAATAATTTTTTGAATATTTAAATTTTTTGCAAAATAAATTTGTTAGATTATTTACATTATTTAAATATTTAAAATACAAAAAAAAATATAAATAAAATTAAAATAAAATTTTAATTAAGTTTTGTTTTATATATTTAGTTACGATTTGAGTATAGAGTTATTTTTAAATTAAAAATATTAACATTTTAAATTATTTAAAGAAAGTAAATTAAAGAACAAGAACTAATTAATGTATAAAAAAATATAAATGACAAAAACATAAATTTAAAAAAAATAAGAAAAATTTAAGCAAAAAATAAATAAAAAAATATTTTACCAAACTACGCCAAAATCAAACCCAAAATAAACAAATAAAAAATAAAAAAAATTAAGCAGAATACCCAAATCGAAACCCCAAAAAAAAAAAAAAAAAAAAAAAAAAAAGTAGCAAAAAACGGCAAATCAAAACCGAAAATAAGAGAAAAATCAAAAACAAATAAAAAAAAAAACAACATTGGTGGACCGTTTGGGAAGCTGACGTGGATGCCAAAATCTTTGAATTACAGGTACATGTGGATCAAGGGCACTTTGGTAAATTAACAGGAGGCCACCTCACCAAAAAGCCAAAAAACTAAAAAAGCCAAAAAATCCTTTTCAAACCAGGCTTTTTAATCTCAGGCTAAAATAACTAAAAAAATCAAAAAGTCAACGCACTTCTCAAACGGAGGCTTAATCACGTTATCAAAACACACCTTAAAACTATGGGAAAACCTACTGTCAGCACTATTTTCAAACATAATATTGCCTGTGATTTAAATGTCATTTTTCATTAATCTTAGTTTATGTTTGTCAAATGAAAAGAATATTGTTATTTGATTTAAAATATAAAAATTAATCATCATAACGAAAAATTAAAAAGGTAAAATAAAATTTTGATAAAAATATAGAATGACTAATCCACATAAAATCTACTTGTAAAACTATATGGTACTATATGCACCTTATAATTAATGAAGAAAATAATATAATTTCATATTTTTTGAGTCATAATTAAATTAAATAAAAAAATCATAGTCAAACAATACATGAGACATAACAAAAAATTTCATGAATTATAACTAAAGAAAATAATTGATCATAACTATAGAGCCTTTGTTTTGGGAAGTGGGTTGCCTTTTTGGTTTTTTGGCTATTTTAGCCTGGGGCTAAAAAGTCTGGTTTGGGAAGAAAATAATTGATCATAACTATAGAGCCTTTGTTTTGGGAAGTGGGTTGGCTTTTTGGTTTTTTGGTTTTTTGGCTATTTTAGCCTGGGGCTAAAAAGCCTGGTTTGGGAAGGGCTTTTTGGCTTTTTGACTTTTTTGATTTTTTTTGTGAAAGAGGAGTGTAATGATTATGGATTGGATTTGATGTTTTGTTTTTTGTTGCTAAAATAGCCTATTTTGTTTTTTGTGACTATTTTAGCCCCTAACCCACCAAAACTAACTTCCCAAACTATGCCAGAATAAGGTACATATGGTAGGGCGTATAGAATCTGGATCCTCGGTGCTCCTTTCCGCCACACAACCCTGTAGCCCCCCAAAACGACGTCGTTTTGGGGTTTTTTTGTTTTTTTTTTCTTCTTTCTCTTCCGTCTGTGTTTGGTCTTCTGCAAAATAGAAACCAGAGGGGAGAGGAGGGGAGGGGAAGAAGAGAGAGAGGAAGGGAGAAGAAGAGGGGAGAAGAAGAAGGGTTCAGAGTGTCGGCGACGACGAGGATTTGGTCGACGGCTTCCAGTCTCAGCTCGGATTCTCTAGCTCGGGTCACGGCCGGCGAGGAGCTTCTCGGCGATGAGGAGCCACCGCTTTGCTGCTGCTGATGCCGCCGTGAGGAGAGGAGCTTCTCGGCTTCCATTTTTGTCACTCTCTCTCTCTGCTTTCACTCTCTCTCTCTTCTAGAGGTGAGCATGGTCTGAATTGGATCAGATTGGGGTAAAACCAGGACCAATCCGTTATTTACGGTTCTTGAAAAATTAGAACCAATCCAATCCGTTTAAATTATGGAATCAATCCGAACCAATCTATTTAAATACGGATTGGATCGGTTTAGGACCACGGATTCACATAATTAAATAACAAAAAAAAATATATATATATAACATTTTAATTTCATAAAAACATAAAACATTGCGCTATATTAGTTCCACAATAGCAACATGTCTTTCTATAATAGCGACATACTGTTCTAAAATTTAAACAACAATAAGAGAATTGGTTTCACCATAAGTATTTAGACCATTACAAATTAAAACTAAAAACTAACAAACAAAAGTAATAAAAGAAGATATGATGCGGGTTTAGATTTGAGTTTAGTTTTATATGGAATAAGAAAAGGTACTATGGGGGAGGATGTATAATAAAAATATAGACTATTGTATACGGTCCGGATCGGTTCCAATCCGGAACCGTGTGGTTTAATCCGGAACCAATCCGTGGATTACGGATTTTTAATTCTTCAATCCGGAATCGAACCACGGATTCAAAAAACCAATCCAAACCTATCGGATTGGATTGGACTGGATCGGATTACGGATTTCACGGATTCTTTACTCAGCCCTACTCTCTTCTCCCTTCCTCTCTCTTTTCTTCCCCTCCCCTCCCCTCTGGTTTCTGTTTTGCAGAAGACCAAACACAGACGGAAGAGAAAGAAGAAAACAAAAAGAAAAAAAAACAAAACAAAACAAAAAACTCTCCAAAACGATGTCGTTTTGGGGGGCTACAGGGTTGTGCGGCAGGAAAGGGGCACCGAGGATCCGGATTCAGGGCGTATATATAGTAGAATTTACCCATATAATATATATATATATATATATAATTAAGTAGGCTAGGAGTGTATTAGTGTACATTAGGATTAATAGTAATAAAATAATATTTTGAAAGGAACAACTGTTGATTTTTAAAATTTAGAGGGACAAAGTGTAAATAAATCATAACTTAAATGAGTTTACGCTTAATTTAAACGGCGGAGGGTCTTTGTTAGAATCACCAAGATTTAGGCCAAGTTTGACTATCCTAAATAAGTACACACTTTTTATCTTTTTATCTTTTTTCCATCACATCATCTCTCTACTTTTCTGCACATCTTTTCGTAAAAGGACAAAAAGTACACTTATTTAGGTCATCCCAAACAACCCCTTACACACGCTCTCTTTATGTCAGGTCATGAGGTCAAGATTGAGCCGAATAGATTTTAAGTTTCCGTTTGGCAATTGATTTTTTTAATTATTTTTTTAGTTTTTAGAATGTTTTAGCTTGGGATAAATTTGTTTAGTTTTTTTGTTTGTTTTTTATTTTTGTAAAAAAAAAAATGAAATAATTATTATTTAAATGTAACATTTTATTTTATTGATTTATTTAACATATTTTATCTTTTGTGTTTTTTTAATCAAAAAAATCAATGTCAAACAAAGCCTAACTTCATCAACATACATTGTAAAAGCTACATCAAATGTTTATATAATAAAAAAATATTGTATATTTTATTACACTTTTTTTTATACAAAATGTACAAAAT